CTCAAGAGTAGAGCCACAGTGTTGCTATAATCTTTCCTGCAAATTATGAAGTGTGAAATAGAAAGCTGAAAAAAAAAAAAAAAGGAAATATTGATAACAACATGTCAAAATTACAACAGTAAAAGTAAGAAAACAAACTCCTTGGCTGTCATCTGTCTGGTGCCTCTCTGAAGCTCCTTGGATGTAATAACAGCTTTTCTTTTCTATTGTACTTCTAAGTTTGTTATTTAACAACATCCCATGAAAAGATCAGATTATACTGCTCATAAAATTTTGAAATAATGATAAACTGTGAGGTCAGTTTGAATTATGGGGTGGGGTTATGTATTGATTTTAAGATTTACATATGCATTTGGGAAGTTATTATAGGAAATCACCACTGGAAACTTCATAGCAGGGAAAAAAAGAAAGAAAAATATAATTTATTTAATTTTTCATAAGATTCAACCAAAAGTTCAACAGAAATACAGGTTTTCATATTTTACTTTATAAATTTTCCAACTTTATTTTCTTTATTTATGGCACTCTTCTGCTTAGTAAGTAATATGCACACAAGGTATTGTTTGATATTCAACTTTTAATTACTTCAATAAAAAGCAACACTAAAGCAACATGGCAAAAAATAATAAAAGTCATTGTCTTATCACCAGTGTGTCTAAAATAGCAGACACAGATGGATATTGAACCTGACACTATCAGTGCAGCTTCCTACAGCACCCTTCCACCTGACTGGAATTGTCACACCTGATGCTGGAGTCAGTGAAGAACGGAATATTTTCTCCAGGAAGAAAAGGTGAAGTGAAGAAAGGGAGACCCTGCCAGGACTCCACAGGTTCATTCCAAAAAAGCCCCAATTTCCCCCACCTCCCAAGCTGGGCTATCAACACAGAAATGGTTCTTAGGAGAAAATTATTTGCTTCTCATAGGCAGTATCTACAAAGAGCTGCCACAACCACAGTGTTTTGTGGTGCATTTCTTTAAAATGTGCCCAGATTACCACAGCACGACCTTGAACTCTCCCTTGTTCTGCTGAAGTTTGGGATTGCTTTATTCCTCCCCATTCATTCTTGTCTGGCTGTTCAGTTCAGAATTTCAGCTACTAAGATAAAAGCATGCCTTGATAATATTTTTTTTTGGTCTGACATTATTTTAATAACATGGCTTCAGTCCTGGAAATTCTCTTCCTCCCTCAAGACACTCTTTTTTTTCCTTTTCTGAAACACAAACTTAAAACAGGAAAATCTCAAGTGTGTGCTATTATAATATCAGAATATAAATCTCATGATAAACATTTTATGTTATGTCCCATTCTACCAGTGACATTATCTGTCCATTATATACAATAAAGGTACCAGCAGAAAAAGTGTCAAGGGAACAATCTTCTACCAAAAAACAGAGTCACCAACACCATTTCTAAATTTTCTCTTTCACAACAGGAAAATTACCAGGATCTAGAGTCACAGTAAACTGAAAATTCTCCTTTTGGGTTCACTTTGAGCCAACGAGTTCATTCCAGCACTCAAACCAAGATCTGCCCTGAGTTTACATCCTACTTTTCTCCTTTCCTCTACCAAAAATTATCTTTTCTCTGTTATTGGTCAGCTTTTCACTCCCATGTACCTTATGTCACTTGAATTTCACTGCTTTCCTAACAGCCTGTAACTGGTCATTCAAGAAGAGTGAAGCCAGGAAAAGAGAAAATTGCAGATCTTTTGCAAAAAGATTCTGCACATAAATGCTCCTTAATTATGATCATTCTGTTTTCATGGATTTTTAAACTGAAAGTTACCTTATTTTACAGTGTTTTGTACTTTTCAGAAGAACATAACTTTCAGTTCAACATAAAAAAAACCCAACAACACCCACCCCAAAAAAGCCCAACAAAACAAAAAGAAACAAACAAAAAAACCAGAAGAAACCAATCCTGAAAGAGTTGTTGCTTCAAAGTCACTAACTAAACATGACCAGCCCCTACAGCCCCTAAGCTTTACTCTGGAAATAGAAATACTGTAGGCTTAGAAAAGCACATAGCAATTGATAAAAAAAAATCCTTTTGAGAAATTTGCCATGATGTTTTGAAATAAATAGATACAATATTTAATCAAAGAAAAAATAAGCATTCAGGAATAGCACTGCATCCCCTATTTGAATCCCCACAGGTGATTCCCTCTCTGAAGCTGGCACATTACATCAGAGGTGATCTGTATTTCTAACTGGCCTTTTACATTTGTATGCATAAAAAAAAATTAATTTACTTCAATCTCACAACCCAGTACACCACATTGAGTAACAATCTGATGACAGATTTATGTTACAGATTCAGAACTGATCTGTCTAAAGAAGATGGCCATATCTAGACAGCAGCAAAAACTACAATTTACAAGTAAGAATTTAGAGCCTAATCAGACTTCTGAAAATAGAAATGTTTTTAAAATATCAGTAAGGTATTTTGTTAGGAAGAATTTCTGTATACTAAGTAAAACATGGAACTTAATGAGTTTCCATTATTTCAATTTCTCTATAAGCAGTGCAAGCCTGCTAATATTTCAAGGTTCACAGCATTCTGGTTTATGAAAAAATTAAATCATACTAAATCTACAGGTGCAGAAAACGGTCACAAGCTTTGTGAATGGATTTGAATAGGAGCAATTTTTACAAATTAAGCTTCCTCTGTGCTACTTGGAGATGACAAAATGACAAAATAGATTTATTGATACAAAGAAAATTGTGACAGGTATGGTTTGTTTGTTTGTTTTTTTTTTTTAAGTTTAAATTGTGATAGCATCTCAATATTCTAAAAAATAATCATCTTTTAGAGTTGAACTATTCCTTCATAACACTTGAGCTGTATCAGGGAAAATGCTTTAACAGTACTCTCAATAAATTCAGAGCTGTAAGCATCATGAGCTCCCTCTAATATTGCTAGGCATAAATGGGTAAAGTCTCAAACCAAGTAACATCCTGCTTTATGCTGGTATCCTGCAAATGTGAAACCATATCAGAGTACAAATTTCTCTTGAAATATAGATTCTTGTTACTTCCTCTCAAGATGAACACCTAGCAGGTTATTGATCTGCTTCTGAAGGACACAGTGTTTATTATGTAGGAAACCACTGCTGGGCACAAGTGTGAGAAATTAATGATGGTTTTGTAAGTGTCCACACTGTGGTGCTGAACCAGTGGGGCAACTGTCAATCTATATGATAATGTATCCCAAAACTTCATAAAATCAGTGATGTGAAGAAGCATTGATTTTTGAGCTAACCAGGATTTGTGAGAGAGCAAGGCTAAAAAGTTTACTCAACTTAGCACCTCTGTGTACACAACAGTTGCTTCGTACCACGATGTTTTTTTTTAAAACAACCAAACACAAAGAAACTCTTCTCACAGAAACCCAAAATGAATTCCACATGCTGGTTTATTACTTGCTTGCTGCTTGATCATGTTGTTCGTTCTCCTATTAATATCATTTTTAGAAACATGAAAAATGGATTCACTGCACTGTATTTCCAATTACATAATAATTCACTTATTATGGGGAGGAAAATGAAAAACAAGTGAACAGACTCATTCTTTTATCAGTCTGTGACAGTGTGTATAAAAGTGGCTTCTGAGATTATTTTTTCTTAGACAAAAGGTGTGACACACTGCTGCCACTGAAATGGAGACAACCACCTGCACAGAAGTGAATTCCTGCCACAGCACTGAAGCCAAATCATTCCATAATGCCAGAATTCTATTAGTCAGGGTTTTTTTTTTGAAATCATGCTCAGAAGCCTTAACAAAATTGTACTAAAATCAATGGAAGCTGTCATATATTCTGCGAATGGTATTATTAAAAGGAAAAATCAATTAGCCAGTCACTGATTCTTTTTAAAACATGGGCTTCCTTGTACAAACCATTATTAATAAATGCACATTCCCTCCTTAGTTCTGATGAAGAAATGTATTCTGTTATGCCTATGGAGAGGATATATTACTTGAAGATTCAATTTAAATCAACAAAAAAAGACTGCTGTTACAAACAAAATCAATTGCACTTTGCTGAACTTCTTTCTATCAACATATAAACTGTAATTTTGCCGTTTGCTTTGACAAGCACTTGCTTGTGTTTGCAGAGCCTGGCACACCCGCTTTGCTGAAACCAAGACAACTGTCAGTGAGCACAGGGAGGAGCCCAAAAGAAACACCTACAAAAATCCTCTCCTGAGAGGCAGCCAACAGTATCAAACAGCATTTTATCCCAATATGCCCAGCTGCTGGAATAGTTGCTCTGAGGGTTAATGATGTTAGGGAGGCTCCTCTTCACCTCCTCAGAATGACAAGATCTGAACATCTTTGTTTCTATTTTAAATAAGCTTAGTTTGCACTTTTATCACCATATAGGATGGAGGACAAATTCATGCAAATCCTTTTTTACTATTTTCCCTCTTGAGTTCTGTTCAAACCAATGCGAGCCCAGAAAATTCCCCAGGTAAGAACTTCAGGGTGATGCATAAGAAGAGCCTGAATTTGGATATGTGCACCTGAGAGGACAGTGCTGAACACAGGACACTCAGACACTGCCAGGCTGTTTGGTCACAAGTGGTTGGTGCTGCACCCAAAGTCTCATTTCTGTGACTTCAAACTATGCTAAACACAAGTTGTCTGCCTCAACCTGGTGCAGAGATTTGCTTTCCAAAAGCCACCCAATAAAAAAGCAAAAGAATTGTTTTCACAACTTCAAAACCACGGAAAAAAATGCATAAAATTAAATCTGATTGTTATGAATTAGCATCATTGTTACAGCTACTAGCACATTGTGGATTATTAATATTACTTCATGCTGTGTAGAAAAATCACATATAAAAACTATTTCTCTTTGGAAATTTCTTTCTGCTTCTCATCATTAAGTTTAATTTAAGATTCTCGGAGCACAAACTTCTGTGACAGATTATGGCATGGAAAGTAAATTGCAAGATCAAACATAATATCGATCATATGATGCACATATAATAGTTTCCTGATAGTGATGCTAAAAAAACCCAAAACACGCTAAAAACCAGCTTTAATCAAACTGAGAAAGTGCAAACTTCACCTTTGAAAGCAGACTGGTGCATTTTTAAGTATGCCCACGCTCTCACACGTGTAGGTTAGGAATATACTGAAGGAAAAGGCCTACCATTTTCCTCATCTGACTTATTCTCGTTGTCGGAGTCGGTGAGCGTGAGAGCCGAGTTCTCGCGGCTCGACAGGCCAGAACTTCTCCTGGATTTGATGCCTCTGCCCCAGAGCCTGATGGCGTGCTCCGGGGACATCCCTCCCTCCGTGTCCGAGTCGGCGTCCGAGCCCGTGCTCAGGGAATAGCCCTGGTGCAGAATCCCTATGTCCGAGCAGTACCCGCTCCGGTGGGGAGAGGGCTCGCAGATCCCCAGCTCTGCGAGGGTGAAGTTTGTTCCTAGAAAAACAAGAAAAAAGAAATTAAAATTAAGTCATTTAAAAAGCTAGGGGATTTATTTTCAGCTTGCAAATATCAGTCCTTTTTTAGTTTTGCTCAGTTCTGCTGTATACCAATGAATTACTTAGAGAAATCTCTGGTGCACTGGTCTAGCAAGACTTAGCCTTGAAAATATTGACTGTATCTAAAATGGATGAAATATACAAAACAAAGGTAGGAAAGGTCTCTAAATTTCAGGCTACTCTTTTGGCCCCAAATAATTAATCACTTAGGTGTGTGATTAACATAAAACCCTCATGACAACTACTAATGACATGACCTGTTTTAGTGTGTATGTAACCTCATATTTGTAGGACAGAGCATGAGCTTTGAAGTTATGAAACTGATTACTCAAAAAGAGAATTTTTTTTTTAAATTGAGCTCATTTTCACATACACAAGTCTTTCACAGAGATAGTGAAAGAATGCAAATCCATCAATGAGGTAACATGGAACTTTGTCACCAATTTAATATTTACATTTGGTACAACCAGTAATTTAATATCTGCTAAAGAAACTAAGACAGACATTACATTGAAACTATTTTCTTTTTCCCCCATATTCCAGAAGAAAGCATAAATCGATACCAAAATCAGGAGGTCATTTGGTTTAAAGGCAAAACTTCCTGAGACAATGTCAAAACACGTGACCTTTAGCAGTTAATAACGACTCAGTGGACAAAATCTTATACATTTTTAAAGCACACAGAGTCCCCCAGGGTTCTCAGAAAGTCCAGAGTTGCTGCCTGATTTCTGCTTATGTACTTGTTTCCTACAGTAATGAACAGGGCAGTAAAAATATAAAGGGAAATATTCACTGGTCTCTAAGGCTTTCAAAGATTTTGAAAAGCAAAGTAATTTGAGCTTCATTACACTGGGCTAAAAACAAAAACCAGACTCAAGTTGCTGGCAATATAACTGCCAATTATTTAACTAATTTCTTAATTCACAGGGAAACCACATCTGTGGTCTGTGTTTTTAAATCAGTAGTTTTATTTCATCCAAAATCTGTTTGTATTTTCTCCTCTTCCTCTAGATATTTGTCAGAATGAAGCTAAACAATGGAAGTTCACACACTTAATAAAACACACAAATAATCATCTTCTATTAATAAAGAAGGTAACTGGATTTTCTTTTTTTAAGTACTAGAACTTCTTTCTCAGATTAGCCAGGAAAGTTTATAGAGTTTTAAATCTATCTGACCCCTCCGTGTATCAGCTCTCCCCAGTCCCATATCTAACTGCCAAAGCACATTTTGGATAAGGGGTGTACACACACGTGTAAAGTGCAAAACTGGGGCCCAGTTTGAATTTATTCCTGAAGCTCATCAGTTAAAGGAAGGGATTAGATTTCTTCTGGAAGCCTGAGCTATGTCCTCAGCCAGCAGTGACCGGGCTCGTGTGTGGCTCCGTCACCCTGAGCTCCAAGAGCCTCGCAGCGAGAGCGTGGCCACGGCGAAGAATTCTCACCAGACAATTCCTTCTCAAGGAATGGAGCATTTCGTGGCTATGTGTGAAATGGATATAAAAAGGCTGACATTAAAAAAGCAGCCTTGCTTTCATCAACACCAAATTAATCCGAACCCTACTAGTTAGGAGCGTATTTTACCTGCCTTCTAATATTTAATGTAGTAATCAGAAATTCAGTGGTTTAGTCAAAATCAGGGGACTCAACAGTCCTAAAAATGAGCTTCTCAAGTGCACTTCAGTCTAGAGATTTTTTTGCCTTTTTTTCTTTTTTCTTTTTTCTTTTTGTAATTAGAGTTCTAGCATGAGAGATAAAGCTACTTTTAAAGAAAATGTAAACTTTAATCATGTGCAATTTCAGTAAAAGACATTTAACAAAAACAGTTTGATTGATTAGAGTTTTGCTTTAGCCATATTAGTAAACTAACCTTCTACTTACTAATAAAAAGGTCAAAATCAAACCAAAATGAATATAAAAAATGGACTGAACTGAATCATAGTAGCTCACTCCAGACAGGGTACGTGATGACATTAGACACATGTTAAAATTACTAAACTCATCATGAAAATGAAGTTTTTCAGATTTTTTTGTTTGCTGGTGACATGTCTACAAATACACACAAATTATGACTATATTAGCTTAATTAAGCTGTTGTACATACACACTAAAACATGTTGATGATATTTTGTGGATTTTAACAGCCCTTACAAGCCCAGATGATTTCACTTTGATTAGCATCCTGTTCTTACTTTGTCTGAGGAAAATGGTATAGGCACTGAAACACATTATTCACAAAATTCATTCACCCATTTGAGTTTTATTATCTGGGAACTTGGCATTTTCCAGTAACTGACCAAATTTTTAAAAATTGAGAAGTGGATCATATCAAGAGCACAAATGGAATCAGCCCCTGAACCTCTGGGAAAGGATTTTCTATGCTGCCTCTCAGAAATCCCTTTATAGTCTTATGACCTTATGGTAGACATGAAATATTCTAGAAATTTCCCTGTCTAGTAAAGACATGTTCTTTGCTGGTAGATTTTAAATTAGTTTTATATACTAACTTTTGGCATTTGCTTTTGCAAAATACTATTTGAGACTTTTCTGTAAGGCAGCATATAATGGCAGATTATATCGAATTGATTATATAGAATAACCTGTCCTTGGATAATATTTTTTTCACATTTACATATATACATATATAAAAGAGGTTTATCAGATATGCATTTTACATCCAAAAATACAGAAAGTTATCTCTATAATTCCTGATACCTTCATAGGCCTTAATTTACTGTAAAATCTGAGGAAAGAAATACAGTAATATTCTCTAGACCTTTTCTTATTCTGGACCATGTTCTCCTACATGCCTTGTTTTCCTAAAATGAAACTGCCCACATGTCCTGAATGACATATGAGCTGCTTCCACTAACATAGTTTTCTCTCATTTACTCAGCCATTATTGCACATTAAGGTGCTAATGCCATCAGTAGACCACCCTCGTATAGTCACAGAGAGGATAAATAAAATCTGGACACACAGAAATAATTTGTCCAGTAATTCACAGAATAAGCTGAGTTGGAAGGGGATCATCGAGTCCAGCTCCTGGCCCTGCACAGGACAGCCCAACCATCACACCCTGTGCCTCAAAGCATTATCCAAACACCTCTGTCAGGCTGGTGCTGCCACCTCTTCCCTGGGGACCCTGTTCCTGTGCTCAGCCATCCCCTGGGTGAAGAATTTTTTTTCTAATATCCAAGCTAAACTGCCCCTGACACAACTTCAGGCCATTCCCTCTGGTCCTGTCACTGGTCACCATAGAGAACAGATCAGTGTCTGCCTCTCCTCTTCCCCTGACAAGAAAGGGGACCTTCTGTACTCTGCTGTATGTGGAATGAGGTCTCTCCTCATTCTCCTCCAGTTGTGCAGACTGAGTGCCCTCAGCAGCTCCTCACATGGCTTCCCCTCAAAGCCCTTCCCCATCCTGGCTGTCCTCCTTTGGGCACCCCACTATTACTTTGCAGATGAAGTACAGTCTCACAAAAGATGAAAAAGTACCTGAGTCACTTCATACCCACCCAGCCCACCAGAATACCCCATGTGGAATCCTGATGACAAAGTTCAGCAAGAACAACTCAGCCCTCCTTGCCTCAGTGTACAGCACTTATGGACTGGAAATTCAGAGGAAACACAGGCACAGCCTGGTCTGGGGTTAATGTTTAGTGTCTCCCTCAAGCAGTATCATCCTTACTAAGTGATATTGGGATCTCAGGCACAGCAAGACCTCACAGGGGTCAGTGAAGGCAGCAGGGCAGCAGTCCCACCGTGCCACTCACACTGCCCTGCTGTGGGTCCCCAGACAGAGCCAAACTGCACTGCCAGCACCAGCAGGCAGGCAAGGGTGCCTTCTAACAGCACCCACAACACCTGGGGCTTGCAGGGAGCTGAGAGCAGCTGAACTGCCCCTCCCTGAAATGTCACTCCCAAAGCAGCACTGAAATGTGCAGAGAATCCATTCTTGCACACTTCAAGGGTTTTTTTCAGATTCTGTAGCATCTGCTACCTTGCTGGTGACACCAAGAGAAAAGAGATATATAAAATCACATCCTTATTGGTGGAAAAGAAAGAAACTTCTTTCTCTTGAAGAACACAGCACCCAAAACAGAAAGTCACAAGGTTTTTGCCTTTTCATGTGAAACAGAGCTTAGTGGTCTCCATCCTCAGTCCCTTCATCCCCTCCTGCAGAAACCACTGGATGATTTTCATTAAAGGAAGGCAGTTAAACCCAGCTGCTCCCTTAAGGTGTACATAATCCCTCATACAAAAACAGATCAGCAGTATTCTAGTTTAGCAGTGTAATATAATGTTATGTACTTGATCATCATTGCCCATAATCTACATGCTGTGAATAGTCTCTCAATAGAATAGATGTTTTCCTTTAAATGAGGACATTACTTCTATTATCTCTTTATGCACTTTCTTGTACAGAAATTTACTGTTTCAGTTATTTAGGATATAAACACTTACTAACAGTGTGTTGAATTCAATGATGTACTACTATACTCATTATCACTGCTAAGCCTAGAAAGCATCACCATTTTAGCAAGGGTCACTTTCACCTAACTCCTAGGCAGAGGTATCATTTGGGTGGTCACAAACTGCATAAATTGCCCTTCTGAAGATTAATCTAATCCAGCTGTTGATCACTACAAGATGCCTCAGAGGAAGACCTCTGAAACCAGTAATGCACAAATAAGATAAATGTGCCTTCAACACAACATCGAGTTCAAGACTGGGTTAAGTCTAAAATCAAAAGGATAAATATCACTCACAGTCTTTGCTACTACAGTCAATTACAGAAAGTAAGAATAACAAAAATATATCTAAGACATTCCATCCTTTCTTGAGTTTTTGTTCAGGGCTATAACGATTTTGCTGGCAAGAGAACCACAATTTAGGTCCAACTCTAGAAGAGGTCTCTCTTTTTAAAAATCTCTGA